AGCTGAAGGCAGAGGCTTTAAACCCACTGAGCCACCCAGGCGCCCCCATATAATGCCTTTTTTTTTTTTTAAGATTTTATTTATTTATTTGACAGAGATCACAAGTAGGCAGAGAGGCAGGCGGGGGTGGGGGAAGCAGGCTCCCCACTGAGCAGAGAGCCCAATGCGGGGCTCGATCCCAGGACCCTGGGATCATGACCCGAGCCGAAGGCAAAGGCTTTAACACTGAGCCACCCAGGTGCCCCCATATAATGCTTTTTAAGGCTCATCCATATTGTAGTGTTTCTCAGTCGTTCATTCCCATTTATAGCTGCATAATATTCCACTATATTTTTTGCACCATATTTTATTGATCCATGCACCAGTTGATGAACATTGGGTTTCTAATTTTTAGCTGTTATGAATAATGCAGCTGTGAACATTATACATTAGTTTTTGTATAGAACGTGTTTTCATTTCTTGGGTAGATACCTAGGATTCAAATTGCTGGGTCAGACATGTTTAATATTGTAAGAAGCTGTCACAGTCTAGAAATAAATTCTTATATCTTTCAGCAAGAGTGCAAAGGTAAAACAGTGGGGGAGGAATACGGTAGTATCCCGTCATTGCCGTTTTGCTTTCCATGCTTTCAGTTATTTGTGATTAACTGTGGTATGGAAGCAGATAGTCCTCTTTCTGATGTACCAGGTCAGTAGTAGCTTAACATTGGGTCACAGTGCCTACGTCGTTCACCTTGCTGCATCTCATCCAGACATTTTATCATCTCACAACATCACAAGAGGGGTGACTATAATATAGTAAGATAGTTTGGTAGACCACATTCACACAACTTCTGTTTACAGTATATTCTAATTGAAGTTTCACTACTAGTTATTGTTGTAATCTCTTGCTGTGCCTAATTTAGAAATTAAATTCTATTATAGATGTGTATGAATAGGAAAAAACATAGTATATAGTATATATAGGGTTCAGTAGTATCTGTAGTTTCAGATGTCCACTGGGGAGGGGGATCTTGGAACATATCCCCCACCAGTAAGGGGAAACTACTATAGTCTTTTCAACAAATGCATCTGGGAAAACTGGATAGCTGTATGTAAAAGAATGAAGTTGGGACCCCTACCTAATACCACATGAAGAAATAAAATGGATTATAGACCTAAACATAAGAGGTAAAATGATAAATCTCCTAGAAGAAGATGTGGGCATAGATTGTTATGAACTTGGATTAGTGAGTGGTTTCTTAAGACTCCAAAGCACAAGTGGCAGAAGAAAAGCAGGTGAAGTGGACTTTAACCGAGTGCCTGGCTGCCTCAGTGAGAGGAGCATATGACTCTTGATCTTGGAGTTGTAAGTTAGAGCCCTACATTGGGAGTAGAGGTGCCTGAAAAATAAAATCTTCAAAAAAATTGGACTTTATCAATATTAAAATGTTTTGTGCTCCAAGGATATCATCAAGAAAATGACTCTTGGATGGATCTAGAGGGCGTAATGCTAAATGCAATAAATCAGTCCGAGAAAGACAAATATGATATGATTTTACTCATATGTAGAATCTAGGAAACAAATGAACAAAGATAAAAAGAAACAACTCCTTAATTATGGAGAACAAACTGGTGCTTGCCAGAGGAAAGGTGAGTTGGGGGGCTGGGTGAAATGAGTACAGTTCCATTATACAGTTCCATTACTCAGCTGAGTAATGTATGGAACTGTTGAGTTGTTGTATTGTACACCTGAAACTAATAAAATTGTATGTTAACTATGCTTGAATCAAAAAAACAAAGTGAATCTTACATCTCAATAACTAAAAAAAACCCCAAATAGCTCAATTAAAAAATACATAAATGATTTGAATAGACATTTCTTTTCTTTTCCCCTAAGATTTGTTTATTTATTTGAGAGAGAGAGAACACACATGAACAGGAGAGGCAGAGGGAGAGGGAGAAAATCCCAAGCAGACTCTGCAGGGCTCAATCTCACAACCCTGAGATCATGACCCAAGCCATACCAAGAGTTAGATGCTTAACCAACTACACCAGCAAGGCATGCCCCCCCCCTTTTTTTAAAGATTTTATTTATTTATTTGACACAGAGAGAGATCACAAGTAAGCAGAGAGACAGGCAGAAAAAGAGGGGGAAGCAGGCTCCCCACTGAGCAGAGAGCCTGATGCAGGGCTTGATCCCAGGACCCTGAGATCATGACCTGAGCCAAAGGCAGAGGCTTATTAACCCACTGAGCCACCCAGGCAGCGAGGCGCCCCTTGAATAGACATTTCTTTAAAAAAAAAAAAAATGACTGATAAGCAATGAAAATATGCAGAACATCACTAGTCATTATGGAAATGCAAATCAAAACCACAGTGGGATACATTTCACACCCTCATCTGGTGTAGCTAAGATAAAAAAAGATCAGCAAGTTCGGTGACGATCTGGAGAAATTGAGACTCATACATTCTTGGTTAGGATTGTAAAGTGGGGTAAGCTCTTTGCAAAAACAGTTTGGCAGTTCCTCAAAATGTTAGATGTAAGAGTCGCTGTATGACCTAGAAATTCGGTTAGGCATACACCCAGTAGAATTAGAAACATATGCCCACACAAAAACATACATTTAATGTTCATAGCAGCATTATGTAAATAGCCAAAAATGGAAACAATCAGATGTCAATAGATGAACATATAAACCGTGGTATATCCATGCAATGGTATGTTATTTGGCTGCACACAGGTATGAAGTTCTGACAAATGCCACAACGTGGATGAACCTTGGAAATACTGTGCTAAGTGAAATAAGCCAGTCATAAAAGGCCACATATTGTCTCATGACATTTATATGATACATCTAGAATAGGCAAATCCACAGAAACAGAAAGTAGGTTAGTAATTGTTAGGGGGTGGTGGGATAAGGGAACGGGCATAGGATTTTTGGAGTCATTAAAATACTTTGAAGTTAGATGGTGGTGGTTGTATAACTCAGCGAATGTACTAAAACTCGCCGGATTCTGCACATACTTAAAAGGATAAATTATATCTCAATTAAGCAGTTCATAAAAAAAGAAATGGAAACTATCAAACTCATTTCTAAAGTAGTGCCATTTAACATTCCCTCCAGGAATGAAAGAAATTTCCTTTTTCTCTGCCTCCTCACAAATTCCTGGTATTGTCAGTCTTTTTGATTTAGTGGTTCTGTAGTGCATTGGCATCTCACAGTGATTGCAATTTGCATTTCCCTAACGACTAATGAAGATGAGCTGCTTTTCATGTGCATATTACCCATTTGTGTATTTTCTTTGATGAAAAGGTCTATTGAAATCTCTTGCCCATTTAAAATTGAGTTGCTTGTCTTATAATTGTGTTGTTAAAGATTTCTTTCCAAGTCTTAATTTTTTATTATTAGACTCAACAAAGAATAACATTTTAATAAGTATGATCAGAACAAGTAAGATATAAGGGAAATAAGATTAAAACCTTACACGTTCATTGCAAGTATAAACAAAAATAAACAAAAAAACTGAAGTAGCTATTTCCTCCATATTAAATGTTTAAACACAGTTTTGAACACACAGTATGTATCAGTAATTTAAGTTAGCTATAAAGGCTGTTTTTAATGTGATAAATGAATTTGTTTCTTATGAAACTTACCTAATGTCGATCATAAGTATAATTTTGTTATAAGAGATTTTGATCTCTTCTGCATAAAGGTCCTTTATTAGATTTGTCATTGGCAAATATTTTCTCCCAGTCTTGGGCTTCTCTTCATTTTCTTAATGGTATCTTTGAAAAGCTGAAGTTTTAAATTTTTTTTCAAGTCTTAAATTTCAATGATGTCCATTTCATCAGTTTTTTTCTTACATGGATCCTGCCTTTGATGACATTTCTAAGAAGTCTTTGTCTAGTCCAGGGTCACAGAGATTTTTTTCTCCTGTTTTCTTCTACAAGTTCTTTTAGATTTAGTTTTTAGTTTTTAGTTTTAGGTTCTTAATCTATTTGGAGTTAGATTTTACATATGGTGAAAGGTAAGTGGCCAATTGTTTCTGTATCATTGGTTGAAAAAAATGATCCTTGGCACCTCTGTTAAAAACCAGTTGTCCACAATTTACGTAGTTTTCTTTCTGAACTCTGTTCTGTTCCATTTATCTAATGTGTCGTCCATACCACACTGACTTGGTTATTATACATGTGTAAATAACTTTTGAAATCAAGTAATTTAAGTCCTTCAGTGCTTTTCTTCAAAATTGTTTTGGCTGTTCTTAGGGTTTTGGTTTTTTTTTTTTTTTTCCATGTAAATTATGAAATGAGCTTGTTGACACCTTCAGAAAATTCTCCTGGGAATTTTTTTTTTTTTTTTTTTTTTAAAATTTTTTTTTTTTTTTTGACAGAGATCTCGACGCAGAGAGGCTGGTGGGGGGGGGGGGGGGAAGCAGGCTCCTCGGTGAGCAGAGAGCCTGATGCGAGGCTCGATTCAGGACCAAGGCTCTATCCAGGACCCTGAGATCATAACCCCGAGCTAAAGGCAGAGGTTTAACCCACTGAGCCACCCAGGCGCCCCCCTCTCCTGGGACTTTGAATTGTAATTGCCTTGAATCTCTTGTCAGTTTGAGAATTGCCATCTTAACAATATTGAGTCTTCTGTTCATGAACATAGTATATAGCTCCCCATTTATTTAGCTCTGACGTTTTTAAAAATTTTGGTGACCTGAAATGATTGCTGTTGACAATTTTATAAAATTTTATACTTGTTCTTTGTGGGTAAAGATCACTAACCTTTTCACGTACTGTAACCAGAATATCTCTTGCAGTGTTTTTAACCTTGTAACAGGCTATGCTTCCAGTGTTTTGATTATATTTTTCTGTCTTAAAATTTGAAAAAAAATAAAGTCTTGAAAGGCACTAGGTGGGTATGATTTCGTCATATTGTGCTAACTGTGATACTAGTAGAAACTCAATTCTAGTGGAGGAGAAGACATTAATACCATGTAACTTTGGTTTCGTGTTTCTATTCAAAGGTTCTCCAACTCCATTTCTTGAAGAGAAGATGGCCTACGAGGGATATCAGAACATCCAGAGCTGGCCAGAAAATACAAACTTTTGCTTTGAACCAGAACAGTTGGTGAATCCTACCCACACTGGTAAGTGCAGGCTTGCCTATGACTGCTCAATGTGAATGATGATGTAATCATGAAAAATTTGTAGCCACCACTCAGATAAAACTTTCTAGTCTATATATAGCTTGCAAAGCACAACCAGAGTATAACTCTTTACCCTGAACATTTAGTTGACCCTTTCTCCTCTCGACCCCTTTTTCTGAGGCACATGCTTGTCCAGGTCCTTCCCTTTTGAAGACTATTTTGAGTAGGTTAACTGAAATTCATATTCTTTAAAGACTAAATAGTCAGTAGTACTTTAGAACCTTAGTTCTTCCAGGGGTGCCTGGGTGGCTCAGTTGGTAAAGCGACTGCGTTCAGCTCAGGTCATGATCCCAGGGTCCTGGGATCGAGCCCCACATCGGGCTCCCTGCTCAGTGGGGAGCCTGCTTCTCCTGCTCCCCCTCCCCTGCTTGTGTGCGCTCTGTCAAATAAATTAAAAAAGTCTTTAAAAAAAAGGAACCTTAATTCTTCCAAAAGGAATTATTACTGTAGTAGTAGCACCATTTGTTGAATGTGTGTCAGGCATAGGGGCTAGAGCCTTTTTACACATATTTTCTGTGTTTCTTACCTAGCTCTGCAAGTGTCTATTATCCTCATTTGACAGAAAGGAGAACTAGGACTCAAACCTAATTTCTACAAAGCCAAATTAATCTGTAGAGACAAAAAACAATATGTAGTTGCTTCGAGCTGGAAATGGTGGCAGAACTGGATTGTAGTAGGACCTCAGAGAAGTACATCAGTGCCTGCATGCCAGGTTGAGAGCTCAGTTTTCTGGTTTGCACTCATAAGTGACTTCTTTTTTACCATCTAACTTACCAGGTGCTCATAGCTGGTTCCAAAAAATCTCGTACTTGATACTCTATAATTTCCCAGTTATTGGCTATTCTCAATATATGGTAATTTTTTAAAACAGCTTTATTGAGATATAATTCACACACCATACAGTTCACACTAAAATGTACAATTCAGGGGCGCCTGGGTGGCTCCACCAACCGGTTAAGCATCTGCCTTCAGCTCAGGGTCATGATCTTGGGGTCCTGGGATGGAGCCCCCAGTCGGTCTCCCTGCTCAGCATGAGTCTACTTCTCCCTCTCCCTCCGCTCCTTCCCTCCTCCTTCATGCTCTTTCTCTCTCTCTCTCAAATAAATAAAATCTTTTTTAAAAATGAAATATACAATTCAGTGGATTTTTAGTATATTCATGTATATATACAGCAGTTACCAGAATCAATTTTTATTACCTCAGAAACAAACTGGTAGTCTTTAGATACCACTCCCTATCTCCTTATCCAGCCCAGTCCTAAGCACTAATCTACTTTCTGTCTCTCTCAGTTTACCTATTCTGGACATTTTATGTAAATGAAATCATATGTGGTCTTTTGTGACAGGCTTTTTTCACTCAGCAAGTTTTCAAGGATCATGTGTTTTGTGGCACAGAGGAACTCAATCTCTGTATGGATATACTACATCTTCTTTATCTGTTCATCAGTTGATAAATGTATAGGTTGTTTGAGTGGTGGGGGGGTTGTTTGTTTTTTGTTTTTTGTTTTTTTTTACTGTTGTCAGTAATGCTGTTTTAAACCTTCATGTACAGGTTTTTTTCCCTTAGGTTTATACCCAGATGGGTATTGCTGATCATTTGATAACTCCGTGTTTAATCATTTGAGGAATTGCCCAAGTATTTTCCAAAGCAACTCTATCATATTATAGTCCCACCAGTAGTGGATTAGGTTTGTAATTCCTCCACATCCTTGAAAATCCTTGTTTTCCCTTTAGAAAAATTACACCTAACCTAGTTGGTATTGAAGTAGTATCTTATGATTTTCATTTGCATTTTCCTGTTGGCTAATGATGTTGATTATCTTTTCATTTTTTTCATATGTTTATTGGCTATTTGTAGATCTTCCTTAGAGAACTGTATATTCAGATCCTTTGTCCCAGTTGTTTTTTTTTTTTTAAGATTTTATTTATTTATTTGACAGAGAGATCACAAGCAGGCAGAGAGGCAGGCAGAGAGACAGGAGGACGCAGGCTCCCTGCTGAGCAGAGAGCCCGATGCGGGGCTCGATCCCAGGACTCCGAGATCATGACCTGAGCCGAAGGCAGCGGCTTAACCCACTGAGCCACCCAGGCGCCCCCTTTGTCCCAGTTTTAATTGGTGTGTCTTTTTTGTTGTCCTGGAAGAGTTTTTATATACTGGACCCTTATCAAATGTATGATTTACAAATATTTTCTCCCATTTTGTGGATTGTCTTCTAATTTTCTTGGTAGTGTCCTTTAATGCATAAAAGTTTCTGATTTTGAGGAAGTCCAATTTATCTTGTTTTTCTTTTGCTGTTCATGCTTCATGCTTTGGTGTCTTAACTTAGACTCTACTGCCAAATCTGAGCTCATGAACATTTATCCTCATGTTTTTTTCTTTCTTTATTCTTTTTTTTTTTTTTTTAAGATTTTATTTATTTGTTAGAGAGAGAAGAAGCAGGGAGAGTGGCAGGGGGAGGGCGACGCAGGCTGCCCCTGAAGAAGGAGCCTGATGCAGGACTTGATCTCAGGACCCCAGGATCATGACCTGAGTCAAAGGCAGATGCTTAACCGTCTGAGCCACCCAACTGAGTCCTATCCTTATGTTTTCTTCTAAAAATCTTATAATTTTAGCTCTTGTATTGAGGTCTTTGATCCATTGTAAGTTGATTTTTGTATATGGTTAAGAGGTAGAGAGATTCAAATTCATTATTTTGCATGTTGATATCCAGTTGTCCCAGGTGCATTTTTTTGAAGATTATTCTTTCCCCATTTCATGGTCTTGGGATCCTTGCTGAAATCTGTTGACCATAGATACATAGTTTGTTTTCTTTTTAATCAACTCTTAATTATTTTCCATTGGATCTGTATGTCTGTTCTAATGCCAGTACTATACTGTCATGATTACTGTAGCTCTGTGGTAAGTTTTGCAGTTAGGAAATATGAGTGTTCCTGCTTTGTGGGTTGTTTTATGTTTATTTATTTAATGATTGTTTTAGCTATTCTGGCTGGGTCTTTTGTGATTCCATATGAATTTTAGAATCTGCTTCTCAGTTTCTCTAAAGAAGTCAGCTAGGATTCTGGTAGGAACTGCATTGAATCTGTAGATCAAATTGAGGAGTTTTGTCATCTTTACAATATTAAGTCTTTCAATCTGTAAACATATAATGTTTTTCCATTTATTTATATCTTATTTCTTTGAACAATATTTTTGTAGTTTTCAGAGTATAAATTTTTATGCTCCCATTTGTAAAATTTACTCCTAATATTTTATTCTTTTTCATGCTGTGAATGGAATTGTTTTCTTAATTTCATTTGTAGGTTGTTCATTGGGAGGCTATAGATACACAGTTGATTTTCATATATTGATCTTGTATCTTTCAACTTTGCTGAATTCATTAGTTCTTGTAGTTGTTTAGTATATTTCTTAGGAGTTTCACATGTAAGATGTGTTGTTTACAGTTGTAGCTTTAGTTCCTCATTTCCAATCTTGATCCCTTTTCTTTTTCTTGCCTAATTGTCCTGGCTAGAACCTTCCATAAGATTAACTGGAAGTGGTGAGAGCAGACATCCTTCTTTGTTACTTTCCATAGAGGGGAAGGATCCAGTCTGTGGCTGTTAATTATGGCGTCAGTAGAGGGTATTTGGTAGATGTCGTTTGTCAGATGAAGGAAAGTGCCTCCTGTTCCTAATTTGCCAACTACTTGATTTATCATGAAAGGGTGTTGGGTTTTGTCAAGTGTTTTTTCTGCATCTGTTGCAATGATTATGTGATTTTATTTTTTATTCTGCTGATATGTATGTATTACATTGGTTACCAATCTTGCGTTCATGGGATAAATCCTATTTGGTCATAGTGTATAATTTGTGTGATTTTCTGACACATTCGTAAACATATTTGTTGAAGATTTTGGCATCCATATTTAGAAGAGATGGTGATCTGTAGTTTCCTTATGATGTCCTTGTCTAGTTTTGGTATCAGAGTAATATCAGGGTAATACCATTCTAGGATAATACCAACCAGAGAATGAATTACTTTGGAAGTGTTCTCCCTGCTTCAGGTTTTTCTGGAAGACTTAATGAAGAATTAGTTTTAATTCTTCTTTAAATGTTTGGTAGAATTCATCAGCAAAGCCATCTTAGCCAGAGATTTTCTTTGTGAGTAGTTTTAGATTACTAAACTAATTTAAATCAGGAAGAAGAGGAACCAGCAAGGGTAACGTGAAGGGAATGGCCAGTTCTGAGGTTGGAGAAAACTCAGAAGAGTATAATGTCTTGAAAACGAAGTGTGGTAGTCAACCCCCAAGATGGTTCCAGTGATCCCCAACTCCTGATATTCACACCTATATGTAGTAACCTCCCACATCATACCAGGCTTGGTCTATGTGACCAGTAGAATAGATGGGAGAAATAATAGTATGTCATTTCTAAGATTAGGTTATAAAAGATCCTATGGCTTCCATCTTGGTTATTCTTGGTTTACTCAGTTTGGGGATAGCCAGCTGCTATGGAGAGGCCCATGCAGGGGAGAAACAGAGGCCTCTAATCAATAGCCATGTAAGGAAGCCATTGTGTAGGCAGGTTCTCCAGCCCCTGTCAAGTCTTCTGATGATCACAGCATTGGCCAGTCCCTTGACTACAACCTTGCAAAACACCTTAATCAGTGGAGGTATGGAAAACAGATTCTGGGGGACATTTTAAAGGTCAGATCAGCTGGATTTTCTTATGAATTGGGAATGGCTTATGAAAGAGATAAATCAAGGACAACTCCAATGTTTTTGACCAAAAAACAGAATCCCATTAGAGATGGGAAGATTGTATGAGAGGTGGTTTGGGAAACCTGTTACATTTCAGCTTTATTTTATACATTAAGAATTGGCAATTTAGGGGGACGCCTGGGTGGCTCAGTTGGTTGGACGACTGCCTTCAGCTCAGGTCGTGATCCTGGAGTCCCGGGATCGAGTCCCACATCGGGCTCCCAGCTCCATGGGGAGTCTGCTTCTCCCTCTGACCTTCTCCTCGCTCATGATCTCTCTCACTGTCTTGCTCTCAAATAAATAAATAAAATCTTTAAAAAAAAAAAAAGAATTGGCAATTTAGGGCGCCTGGGTGGCTCAGTGGGTTAAGCCGCTGCCTTCAGCTCAGGTCATGATCTCAGGGTCCTGGGATCGAGTCCCGCATCGGGCTCTCTGCTCAGCAGGGAGCCTGCTTCCCTCTCTCTGCCTGCCTCTCCATCTACTTGTGATCTCTCTGTCAAATAAATAAATAAAATCTTAAAAAAAAAAAAAAAGAATTGGCAATTTGATATGAAAGTCAAATCGAATTCCCAGTCAAATTCCCAGTGCCACAGTGAGGTCTAGATGGCTGGAAGTACAAATTTGAGTGTTATTAACTTACAGACAGAATTTTAAACTATGAGATTAGATGAGATCACTAATGGGGGATGTAGATAGAGAAGAGGCCTTCATCCCTTTAACCACTCAGTCCTTCAGTTCTCAGCTTAAATATTTATCAGGTGAAGATCTTCTTTGGCTTGAACTAAAATATCCCTCTGCTAAATGTATTCAGCCTTGACCTTATGCATCTCTGGGTTTTAGAGTGCACAGACTCTGCCATATTAGAGGCACCCAGAAAGAAAGTAATAAATAAATGAGAGAACTTGGTAGAAACCATTCATTTTTACATGCAAGTTGGCAAGTCTCCGATTCTAGTGTGCAAACCCATATAACACCTATTCTCCTTGATGCTTTAGGTATTCTGTTTTGCTTCAGTGGAAGTGTGAGAAGCAGAGCAAGCAGCAGCCTCCCCAGACCAAGCGATACCAGGGAGAATGAATGGTTCTCATCTCTCTCATGGCCCAGCTCCCCTGCTGTTCCAGAGAAGCAGCACTGGGACCTCTTCCACACCCAACAGTTTCTCAGTTTGCCTTATACTTGTTCATACTTCCCAGTGCTACGGTCTCCCTTGATCATGACATCCCTTACTAGAAGAGGGTGATACAGCTACTTCAGGCCACAAGAATGAATATTCTCCCAGGGCCTAGGTTTTTATGCATTTGCCTCTAACAAATGAAGCATTTTAAGGGAATGAGTCACTAGTTATCTATCAAGGAACTACTGAGAAATGCAGATTCTCAGGGTCTAGCAATCAGTGTTTCTTTAAGGCCGCAGGGTAATTCAGATGAGTGCTAATTTTGAGAAGGCCTTCTTAGAAGCAGAATTCTTTTTTTTTTCCCTCTGATGAAGAATTCATTATAGGACTGGCATGTTTTCTGTTACGGGCGAGGAATAAACATACTATTGTCCCCGTTCCTAGTACCTAGAATAAAACCAATGATGATCACAAATTTCCCAGTCTAGAATATCAGTTGTATTCACTGAGAATGAGTTTTAAATTTTTTCTTTTTTCCAGATCCCTTTAAAATGCACCATGATGATGGCCTGGAGGATTTTCTCTTTCTCCCCAGTGGAACAACCAATACTTCAGGATTTGCAGAACGAAATGATCCCCTGCAAGACAGTTATGGTATGATGTCGTCAACTGGATTTATTGGTTAACTCCCAACAATTAATGTGGCCTTTTACCCATTACCTTTGAAGTTAACTACTAGGCAAAGTCATGTTTTTTGGCTTTACCTGTAACAAGGCTCTGTCTAGATTGGTCTCAGGAGAGAATTCAGCATTTGGGGCGCTCAGGGTCTGCTCACCTCCTCTCGGGGGATCTTGAATACTATATGATAGGGCCAGATTCTGTCTCCATATTTTACTAGCTCATTACCCTGGGCATGTTATATCCACTCTAAACTTTGATTTATCTATAATATGGGTCCAGCACTAGTTCCTACCTTAAAGATGTAGTGAAAATTAAATAACTTTGTAAAAGCACTTCTCATAGCATCTGGTACTTAGTAAAGTATATTTTTAAAAACATTTTATTTGTTTATTTGACAGAGAGAGACAGTGAGAGAGGGAGCAGAAGCAGGGGGGTGGGAGAGGGAGAAGCAGGCTCCTGGCCAAGCAAGGAGCCTGATGCGAGGCTTGATCCCAGGACCCTGAGATCATGACCCAAGCTGAAGGCAGAGGCTTAAGGACTGAACCACCCAGGCGCCCCATGGTACTTGGTAAATATTAAACAGATCTTAGTTCTCAATTAGTAATACCATTATTCCTGGTTTTGTGTAACTTTTAACATGAATGTGACCAGGATACTGTGGGGGAGGTGAAACTTTACTTCTCCCCATCTTGGGTTTTCAGCTGGGCCTCAAAAAAAAGACAGATTAACAGAAGACAGACCATTTGTTAACATCTGCAGCATCTATTGTATGGGCAAAAAGTGACTCAAAGCGGTAGCTTGGAATTTTGGGTTATATAGCATCTTCAACAAAGAGCAGTAGAGGTGTAAAGAAATGACAGGACAAAGGAAAGCAGTTTTAGGCTTCCATGACTGGCAGGCTGTGGGAAGAAAATGCATGGGAGGGCACTAATGGAGTAAGGTTTGTTTGCAGATTTCCTCTGGTGCCCTCTCTGGGCTCGTAAGAGTCTGTCTCCAGGAAGAGGAGAATTTATATCCTGCCTTTAAGCAGAATGTGAGGAGCTTTTTCTGGGTTTACTGCTCCCTAATTGCCTTCAGTTCAAAATAATTTTTTATGTCAAAGAGGCATATTTTGAGGGTGACATTCAGGTTTCCTTCAGTACCTATCATCAATAAGTCCCACTTAACAATGCTTAATACTTTTGTATCTGTAAAGATCATGGCTAATCATATGTTGCATTTATGCTTCTCAACCCATTTAACAGCCTTCCCCCTAGAGATCTGCCATCCAAAGAAGCATTGAGCATTGTAGTCTCCTCATGCTTTTCAGTTCACTAGCTAGTGAGTCATTTAGTCCCATTGACTTCTTTACAGCATCTTCTCTTCTTTGATGCTCTCTCTGCCTTCCCCCATATAAAGCCTCTGTCACTTCATACCTAGGCTGCCCCCTTTTAAATTCATTCCAAATATACCTTCTGTGTTGGTCACCAGGTCCCTGTTCTGTATTCATCATTTCATTTTCATTAAGATCTTACAACACTCTATTTTTTGCTCTTCAAGTCTAAATTTCTCTGGCTTTCCAGATCCTTTTCCCATTGTTTGTCCTCATCTTATTTTCCCTCTCTGGTATGCAGCATCTGCTTGACTCCAGCTAATTTCACAGTCGCAGGAACATTTTATCCTATTGGCATTTTTATACCTTTCTTTGTGCAGTGTTCTCCGTCCTTGAAATTAACTACTCTCTCCTCTCTTCCTGCCCTTGCTTCTCCTCTGAAGGCTTCTGTGACTATTCTGGTCCTCGTGGTTGTTTTTAAACTCTTGGAATACTTAGTCCATGCTATACAGTATTTGATACATGCCTCTCTAGCTAAATTGTAATACTCTTGATGACAGGGACCATGTGACATTAAATCCCCTATTATGTCTGACAGAGTACAGCATAATAATAATCCTTTAACATTTGTCTAGTTCTTAATAATTTATAAAGCATTTTCACGAAACTGTTGTAATGTTGCAGAGGGAGACATTGATCTCATTTTACAGATGAGGAGATCAAGACTCACAGTTCCTTACTCTATGTTACGTTGTATCAGTTGTAATATTTATTGGTGCTGGCATTCAGTCTTTGGTATTAGGACTCTTCACAATACACTGTAGAAGGTAGCCAGTCAATGCTGACTAACAGCACGACCAGTTAACAGTTTGCCAAAATCTGAAGAATGGCAACAGTTTCTACTTTAAAACTTTCTTGCCTTGTTTTTCATTGGTCCTTAGGTCTGTGTCATTATGGCAATATATAAAGCTAATTTTTTTAAAAGATTTTATTTATTAGAGAAAAAGAGAGAGAACATGTGCGCATCAGCAGGGGGAGCGGCAGGGAGCCTGATGCTGGGGCTCAATCCCGGAATCCTGGGATCATGACCTGAGCTGAAGGCAGATGTATAAAGCTGATTGTAAATATCAAATACTTTTTTTCTCCCTATTACTGAAGCAGTTTCAAGAATCTGTTTGTTTGTGTTTTAATATCAGGTCTGTTTCCCTGTGACACCTTTGCTCCTGCAGCTGTCGTACCTCAGGGGTGGCCTGTGGAAGCCCCAAACTCTCCATACTCGGAATCCTTCATTTTACCAGAGGCCGTACCACAACCTCTGCAGCCCACATCAGGTAAATTACTAGAACCCCTCTTTATCACTTACTGGTTCCAGTATCTTAGTCAATCCAAATCATCAGACTTAATTTTTAGCCATTTAGAGCAGTACAGGTAAAAATTCCAGAACTATCACAAATACTTGTATCCTTTTAATTATTGATTCCACATCTGAAGGAATGAAGGTGTGGTTGAAATACAACACTTGGAATACAACACTTGGAACTCGGGCAGAGAAAATCCCTTTTCAATTCAGTGCAGATTTAGGACTCAGAGGTTTTTTTCTGGATGTTCTGCAGGTTCCCATTCTTAAAATAATTTTGTGCTTGTGTTGTTGTTGCTGTTTTTAAACCTGTGCTTTTTTTCTTTCCTTTTCCTTTCTTCCTCCACTCTTTACTCTCTCAATGCCCTGTTTTTCTCAGTACTGGGACTACCAAAGAGTAGGCACAAGTACATTAATTAGATAGCTTTTTAATTTATGTTTAGGGTTTTATGGTCACAAAATCTAGACACTCCTGTACTCTCTGAAAGTAAGTTTTGAATGCGGAGCTATGAGCGCATCATGATGGGTCCTAAGTTTCCTACTTATTTCCCATAGAGCTAGCCAAAGAGGTAGAAGTGACATCAGCAGAAGAGAGGGCACCAGCAGAAGCATTAGAAATCATGATGGGACTGAAGACTGCTGACATGGCACCATCTAGAGAAACAGAGATGTCTCCAGCCAAGGACATGGCTCCAGCCACAGAAACAGAGGTGGCATTGGCTAAAGACATGGAACCATCCACCAAATCAGATGTGACACTGGCTGAGGACGTGGAATCATCTATCAAATCAGATATAGTCAAGGACATGGTACTACCCAAAGAAACAGAAGAAGCCCCAGTTAAGGGTGCTGTATTGTCTGCAGAAACTGATGTATCTTTAGCCAAGGACATGGTACTGCCCACAGAAACAGAGGTAGCCCCAGCCAAGGATGTATTACCATTCAAAGAAACAGAGAGGGCCCCACCTGTAAGCCCTGTAAAAATGGATGTGTCCCCAGATGAGGGCATGGTACCACCTACAGACAGAGAGATTACCCCAGCCAAGGGTGTGGTATCTCTCTCAGAAAGAGAAGTGGCACTGGCTAAGGATGTTGTATCATCTACAGAAATGTCCCCAGCCAAGGAGGTGGCCTTATCCCCAGACACAGAGGTGGCCCTGACTGGGGACATGGTGCTGCCTCCAGAAACCAAGGTGATCTTGACCGAGGATGTGGCATTGCTCCCAGAAACAGAGGTGGCCCCGGTCAAGGATATGGCTCTACACCCAGCTACAGAAAAGGCACCACTGAAGGATGTGGCTCCATCCCCAGAACCAGAGTTGGCCCTGGGCAAGGATGTGCTTTCACCTACAGAAACAGAGATGGCCCTGGGCGAGAATGTGGCTATGTCCCCAGAAACAGAAGTAACCCCGGTCAAGGATGTGCCTCTGCCTCCAGAAACAGAGTTAGCCCTGGCTTCGGATGTGGCTCCACCCCCTGGGACAGAGGTGACTCTGGCCAACAATGTGAGTCCAGCCCAGGCTGCTGCATTGCTCTCAGAAACAGAGGTGGCACCGGCTCCGGTTAAGGATGTGCATGCTGCAGGGACATGGGAAGAAACAGAGGAGTCCCAGTTAAAATCTCTCAAGAACGAGGGGCAGTCAGCTGCATCTACCTTGATCATGTCTCCAGGTATGGATTTATGTTTACTCAGTATTTCTGTCTCCCAGTGTGTATTCTCCAGGAAGGTGAGGGACAAACGTCGTACCAGATAAAGACAACGACACTGTACTTTGCAAGTCTACACACCTTGCTGCTCTTCTAGACCATCTTTCTCACCTTCGTCGTCCTCCAGTTTCCAGCATCTTCCTCCTTACTTCTCTGCTGATATGTTTTCCTTATGATAATTCCAACAGTAAAAGGGATCGTCCGCAGACTTTGGCCACCTCACCTGCCTACTTGTCTGCTGTATCCCTAGTCTCTGCCTCACTCCCGCTACTGGAAGTGAACCGTCCCTGCTCCTAATTAAGGCCAATCTCCCATTTTGCTCCTAGATCCCACCTCCGCTTCCTTACTTAAGGATGCCCTGGCCACTTTTTCCTTTCTTGCCACTCAACAGTTTTTCCCCCTGTCCTTCGAATCCTTCTCACCAACCTACAAATACTATTTTTCCCTTTAAAAACAAAACAAAAAGTTTCCCAACTTCACCTTCCAGCTGCCATTCTATTTCTCTGCTGCCCTCGGAGGAATGTCCCTCATTCCTTCCAAACTGTTCCTGCCTCCAGCTTCTGAAAGGTGGAAAAAGAGCTGAAATAGCACCGCTCTAAGACCTGTGTGGTTTTTACTGTTGCATTTAGAACCAGTCACAGCTGTGGGGCAAAAGTCCACCTTGCCAGCAGATGAGGATTCTGTATTAGAGAAACAAGAGCAAAAGAAACCATTCGGTAGTCAACCTTCTGAACTTCCTTCCGAGACCTCGGGTAAGTGGGGGAAGCACAGCGGACTCTTTGAAACCACTTGAACTAGGAGCAATGGGGTGGTGGTGGTAGACGTAGTCCCTGGTTTTGTGGTGGTTATTAGTATTGCTCATGAAGTCCATTCTCTTTCTTAGGCAGATTTTGTCTTGTTTAGGCGGAGAGTCAGCTGTTTACGTACGCTACGTCAGCTCAAGACATCTAAATTTTAACCCACTTCCACTGTTCACTGTTCTATGCTGTGTGGTCTTGGGCAGGTTACTTAACTTCCCTGTAGCTCTTTTTATTCAGCTATAAGAGGAATGTATTGTTCAAGTGTACTGTAAACCTTTGCTAGTAAACTCTTGCTAGATGCAGTGTGTTTCGTGCCCCAGCAGCATCTGCATTGCTTGGGGGCCTATTAGAAAGGCATTGTCCTGGATTCTACCTCAAACCTTCATACACATTTTAACAGGTTCTCCGGATAATTGATAACACACTGAGCTTGGAGAGGAACCGCTCCAAGTTACTTTCTAACTCGGAGTTCAGTCATTCAGTGAACTTTAAGATGACATGTTTTTGATGTAAGCCCAGAGCTTATCAACTTAATGATTCTCTGCTTGCTTTTCTGTGACTGATTAGAATGTGAACTTGAGGGCAAGGACCCTGACTTATAGCACTGAGATTCTCTAGTGCTTACATACTGCCTAGCCCCAGGTAGGAGCTAAATAAAGTTTAGTCTTTTTAAACATAGTTTTAGTGACACAACATATCAATAAAGATTTATCAAGTCCTTACTGTGTACAAAGTTCACCATGCTAAAGCACATAGTTATTTAAGTCTGGTCCTTGCCTTTGTCTTGTTGTCACATAGCCTGGATAGCAAGGGAAGTTGCCAGGCATAAACTCTGAAACCAAAGATTTATGTAATAATTCAGTAAATAGTATAAAAGATGGCACCAGATAGCTACTGGTTAATTGCCAAATTAAATGTTATAATGTTGTGGGGGTACTAAAGCCCAGCACTTTTTTGAGAGAAGCAATAACTGACCCGAGATGTTAAATCAAGAGTAGGGTTTGCAGGACACTGGAGAGTAAAAACAGTAACAAACGGTACTATATAAGTATTCTAATGTTCTCTGAAGTCATTTCATTGGGTCATACGTGATAAGAGCTGTCCTAGACCTGGTCTTAGTGGGACTTTTCCAGGATCTTGAATCTGTGCTGCATTGACTTGGAAATAGGAGGTTGGTGCAGTTGGTTTCCTGAAACTTTTCTAAGGGTGGTTATCCTAATTGTTCTAATTCATTACCCTACTGGGCATTATGTATATTTTTCTGTCTTTTAAGAAGTACATTTAGGAACAGAACATTAAAATCTAACGCATTTGTCTTTTCGAAGTAGGCTTTGATTCTAGAATGATGAGGGTTTTTCTTTGGCCAAAATAGTAATTCAGTATCTTTTTTTCTTTTCTTCTTCCTTCCGTCCCGCCCCCCAGTAGCATAAGTCTGGCCTCCTGGTCTGTTTCCCAGAATTGATCTGGTTAGCCTGACAAGTAATTAGTATAATACTGGTGACAGACTCTTAGAATTATAAATTTTGTCCAAAATCCTAATATATTGCATTCAGTTAATTAACAAATGTCACCAAAAAAAGATAGGAGTTTATCATCATCTTGTTGCAAAATTGGGAATTACATACCTATTAAAAATAATGACAAATAAGTATCAGATGAGATTGCTAGGCATTACTTATTACAGAAAGTTAGAAGAACTCTGTTTGAATTTTTTTCTTTACCTGAGATGATGATCTTTGTTAATTTGCTAATCCCAGTTAAGGATGAGAAATATTTTGGAAAAAACTATTTTTCTAAATGAATTATTGTGTGGGTTGGTGAAAACAGACTTAACTGAGTCAGTAAATGGACTTTTTTTTTTTTTTTCTTAAACAATAACAAGGAGTTTTTTTTTTTTTTTTGGAATTTTGGCCGACTTCATGTATTACAGGTACCCCTCCCACACAAGGCAAACAAGTGTACAGACCCAGTGACCGCAGGTCCACTCGGCCCAGGCCTGCCAGGGTCCCTCCTGAGCTGCTGGGAGGCTCTTCTCCACGGAAGACTGTTGATACCGGGCTGGGCCCCTGCTCTTTGTTTGAATTGGGTTGGGTCTCTGGTCTGTCTACCTATGGTGAGCCTGGGAACCAAAGGAAAACTACTCATCTTGACTTCCTTGAACCCAAGCGAGATCTTGGCAGGGAGGCCTGGGATACAGAGAGCCCACCAATGATGATGAAGAAAAAAAAGAAGAAACCAAAGCAAAAAAGATATTCTCAGCCCCGGGCTGGGGGACCTTGGGATGACGACCGTGCAGACGACCATAAAGGTCATCCTTTTGTAGCAGACCCACAGAAATCAGGGGTTCTCCCCAGCCTGCCTACCCCTGTGGGCATGGAATATGGACTGGCATCCAGAGAAAACTTAAAAAAAGAATGTGAAGTGGAGTCCAGAGCCGCCAGACTGGTAGCAGAAAACTTTGTTTCAGAAAGTCTCAGCGTGCCTTTGTGTCCTTTGGAAGAATCCCTGAAAACTGCAGGAAGTTCTCAGCGCAAGACGGGAACAGACACGGAAGTCCGTGGTAACAAGGCAGTACCACTGGGCCAGGACCAGAAATGGCTACAGCCAGGTGAAGGCAAACCAGAGCCTGCACCCCACCTAAAGAGTCCCGTGGATGAAAACCGGACAATGGGTTCATCTGTTCTGAAAGGACCCCAGACAGAAGTTTCTGCACACAAAATAGAAATTCCTTTGGAGATTAGGCCCAAAGAGGGTTCCTCTCCTGTCTTGTACCAAGAGGCCATGGGTGGGGTTTCAAAACCCATAGCCGCAAAAGAACTGCCTAATCCGGTGCCCACTTTGCCAACAGGTACCTCATTAGGAATTAGCCCAACAGAAGCGAATGATGAAAGTAAAGTGACTAAATTGCAGAAAGACAGGCAGACAGGAACTGAAGGAACTAAAGAGGTTAAAGGAACTAAAGAGATTAAAGAACTAACAAAGGAAGCTCCTCCCAAGCCAGGTCAGGAGACGAGCATCTTGGCTTCTGATCAGTGGCAGGATGAGGTGTTAGTTCAGAGGCCTGGGCTGGAGAATCCACCATCTCAGAGAACAGCAGGGGATGGCAGAAACAGGAAGGCAAGGGCAGGTTCTGGGAAGGTGAGAACCAGTTCTGGGAAGGGAAGAGCAAGATCTGAGCCCCCATTTCTTACGGACAGCTGGAAGGATGGCCCAGCTGTTCTCGGGCCAAGTGAGGCGGCCCCTAAAACCGAAAGATTGCCTGCTGGGGAGAAGAGTGAGGAGCTGGGTTCCTCAAAGCAACCAGGGACCACAGTGAGTCTCACGGAGGCTGTGGAGACGGGTGATGCGAGGGGGCCCAGCGCCTCGCACATGTTGATTCCTTTGGGAAGTGAGTCAGGCACGACTCAGACTTCTGGCGCTAGAACAGAAAGGGGGACCTCAGCTGTAGATAGGGGTGTCAGTAACCAGAGCAAGGAAGGAGCATGTCCTTGGATGGGTAGTGAGGCAGCTCCCTGGATTTCTGAAAAGCCTAAGAAAAGGGGTAGTGAGGGCAAAAACAAAAAGTTCAAAAATAATTATTCCACACAGCCTGCTAGAATGGAGAACAAGGAAGAAACCCCCAACCCACCTTCTGTAGGGAAGGATAGAGATGCTGGGAGTACTCCTCATCCAAACAAGGACTTAGGACTCTCTTCCCCCTTAAATCATGATCCTTTGTTCTCACGTCTATCAGCTCTTCCCACAGTGGAAGTAGGTGAATGGAAGGGGAGGAACGATGAGGTTAATTCTTTTGAGCTTGGGGCTCTTGGTGGGAACAAGACAGACATAGTCAAGGACGCCGCTGTTACTGAACCAGCTACCAAGGTGACAGATGTGAGCTGCCAAGACCAAATCCAGGGGGCAGGATTTGTCCCTGCAGTACTGTCTGCAGAGAATAAGACAGATGCAGCCAAGGGACACGCTGCAGTGGCTGACAAACCAAATGAAAGGAGCAATGATGGAAAAAGTAAAAAGGTTAAAAATAGTTTTCCTGAGAAGCATCTTCTGGAGAATACGATAGATGCATCAGAAATACATGTTCCCATGGAAACCACAGGGGACCACAGAACTGAAGGAATGGGCTATGTGGACGAAAATAGAAATATCACATTTACCTGCCCCAGAACGCTCCCAGGGTTGATGAATAAGTCAGCCCCTCCAGAGGCTCTGGAGTCAGCAGCTCGTGAAGGACTGCCCGCTCCTGCTTCTCAAGTAGTAAAGGAAGGTGAATCTTTTCCAAAGCCCTTGGCAGAAAGTGGGCAAGAGACAACTCTAGCCCAGTTGTCCAAATTATTAGTGGTAGATAATTGCAGCAGAGATGGAGTCCCAGCTCAGGAAAGACCCAAGGCCCCCTCTACTGTCACACCTTCAAGCACAGGAGGAGAGGTTGCCCTCACTCTCACAGCAGCTGTAGACACTATTAATAGCCAGGGAGCTAACACTCTTAAGAATAAAGGTGAACTTGCTGGTCCCCTGAGGACTGAAACAGGGATAGATGGAGGATCTGTGAAGGGAGGCTCTGAGTCAGTGCCCAGTGCTGCATCTAAGCATTTGATAGAAAAAATGACAGAGGTCACAGAGAGACACCTTTCTGGAATGCCAGTAGAAGACCAGCGCCTACAAGGTGAGGGCAGAGTCCTAGAAGCATGTGCAGATAGGAATAATTTTCCAACACACCCAGTTAACAGAAAGAAAGAGTCTGAGGAAGGTTCTGCTCCAATTCCAATTCCTCCTGACTTACTGGGAGACAAAGCACCAAAGCCCAGTTTCTCTGAGGACCAAAATGCTGACAGTCGAGATTCCAAGGACCCAGACGGTTTGAATAAGGAGGTAGATAGAGCCCTTTTGCCTTCAACAAGTGAAAAAAAGAAAGTGGAAGAAGTTAGCCTGGCTTCTGAAATCACTGAATCCGGACATATTTCCACGGCTGCACCAGAATTCGAGTCAGATTTGTTAGATGGCAGGGCTGCAGCTACTCCGTCACCGGCGGTAGATAAGTTGGTAGTGCCTCCTCCCAAGGATCCTGAACTCCCAGAACCCAAGGATAAGATCTCGGAGGCCCCTGACAAACTGACCGAAAAATCTGAGCGGAAGGCACCAGGAGAAGGCAACAGGGAAGATAAAAGCAGAGTGGCAGAGCCACTGAAAGGCTACATGAGACCTACCAAGTCCCGAGGCCTTACTCCACTTTTGCCGAAGTCTACCGTCCAGGAACGAGAGAGAGCCAGACAACTGAAGTCCGGCGGTATGACCCTGCCGTGGGGACGTGTGTGCGCTTGGGGCTTTTGAGAGCATCCGGAAGGCAAAGAGCTTGTGCTTTGGTTCCATCCAGACTCTAATCATCCTTCTTAATCATTGGTTTGTCGGCATGGAAATGTGTAACTGCTAATTACGTGTTTTCTGCAGCCGAGGGCATGCCTTGTGTCCAGCTTGAGGAGGCTGGTGGCTACGTTGCATGCCTTTTTACCCAGCACTGAACCTTGAGTTTTAGGGGAAGGTGAATTTCAAACAATGAATTGTTCAGCAGAAGGCCCGTCACCATCCACTATTCTTAATTGGGGGGAAAAAAAAGTGCCTCCTATGTGTAAAGCTTACGACCAGATTTAATCTTTATTTTGTGTCAGGATTCACAGGAGGAAAGAAAACATTTCAGGTCTAGCTGTATGCGTGGGATTTATTTTCTTGTCAGTATATATTTGTAGCTTGTGCTGGTGGGGACTGACTATCCAAATTGCTTTCAGAGTCAGTGAAAATGGTCTTCCCCGCATGAGGACATGGTAACCAGTTCCCAGCCGGCATTGCTAGGCACAGACTCTGTGTTTCTAGAAGTGGGAAATGATCTCTCTGTAATGCAGCCATATCTTTTACCAGTTTGTTCACGGCCATTAGCCACAGTTGCATGTCAGGCGGAGTTCGGGGCGTGGTCTTTGTCCGTGAGATGTAGTATGCATCCTCGGACAAGTCTGACACTGGCCAATGTGGGATTCCTCCTGTTTTTCCCCTTTTTGGATCTCCTCAGTCAAGTACTTGGAATGAGATTGAGAAAAATTATTCCTTCGAGGTTTAGAAATGTTTTCTTTCTTTTTTTTCCTGAAAAGTATACACCTAATCACGGCTTCCCTGAGCCTAACCTTCAAAAACTGTTTCCTAGCCTTTGGGGTTTTGCCACCTACAGATGATGCTGTTTCTCACTTTGCATGATGCAGCTACTAACTCCAGACATTTAAAAAAAAAAAAACAAAAAAAACAGCCAAGAACACCAATTGGCCTTAGAGTTTTGGACAGGCTTCGTCAGGGAATGGTGGATGTGCTGCATGATGGGACTTTCTGTTTTGGGTGAAGCTTGTCTTTGCATGAATTTTGTGCCCAGTGAGGATTACTGTGCTGTGTGAGTAGAGGATACTCTAGGTCGTTGTCTGTAGAAGACATTCTCATCTTTTCTGTTTTTATCTTTCTTCTATTAGCTACGTTCTTGCCAAGGCAGAAAATGAAGTCACGTAGAGAGGGCTTTGCAGCCTTCGTTAGGATTTCCAGCGTTCTAGCCAGTTCTTTACTTTTACTTTTTAGACTGGTTCTTCAGTTTGAACAGTGACGCAGAGGGTGACATGTAAATTTTCTGAACACTAGCCATTTTTTTTTCTCTATATTTCCCAAAAAATGTAGCAAGAGGATTTGTTTTGATTCTTGATTAAGCAAAGCAGAAGTTTGAGAACTTTCAGGGCCCTGCCTTGGCCAAGCCAAGCTCAGAGACTGTGTTGTTAGGGGTGCTCTTGCAGAGTGGCTGAGGAGAGAATGGTGGATTTCAGGCAGAAGTTGCTATTTCCTCTGTAATTATATCACACCGTTCCCCTAAGGACAGTCTATACTTTTTTTAATAGTTAAATTTTTTTTTAGTAATTTTGAATCAGTACATTCCCATGGTGACGGGGTGTACACTTAAACGTAAGTCTGCCTCTCTCCATCAGTCCCCATCCAAATTTCCCTCTCCACAGGCACCCAGTGGTAACAGTGTCTTTATATATCCTTCCAGAGAGTTTATGCATAAAGAAGGAATGACACACACATTTGTGGATTTTATACAGAGGAGACCTAACATACAGACTGGTGTGTGCCTTGCTTTGTAAACTTAACAATTATTTTAAAGGTCTTCACAAATCAGTACAAAGAAGCGGGGGGGGGGGGCTCATTCTTAATTAATTGCTATATAGTATTTTCATCACGTGGATATATCCTAATGTATTTTACCACTTCTTTATCAGTGGGCATTTAGGTGTTTCCTAGTTTTTCTTTTATTAGAACAAAGTCCATAGACTGTGCTTGTTTAGACAGAGTGTCATACTTTTGCTAGTACATCTGTGTAATAAAAAGGGACTCTGGAATAGACTCTCTGGTTTGAAGGCTGTGGATTGGTAATTTTGACAGGTATTGCCACACTGTCAAAAGAGATGTACTCAACACTTGGCAAATACCCGTACTGGCTCTTCTGTACTTTCTCCACTAGTGCATTTTTGTTGTTGTTGTTGTTGTTGTTGTTATGTTTGCTGGTCCTATAGGTGAACATTTATTTCTTGGCATAGATATATTCTGTGTTTTATTTACTTGGTGACTTCCTTGTGTTTCACCAAGTTTGTAAAAGAGCATCTAGTTAGCAGTATATTTACTTCCCTATTTCCAAAGAGGAGAAGACCAACAAAAGAGAATTCATTTAGGGGCACCTGGGTGGCTCAGTCAGTTAAGCATCCGTCCATCCCTACTGTGAGTTTATAAAAATAACTTCTGTTTTTAACTTTTCACAGTTTGGATCTCTGATCACTGTAGAATTGGCTGATGTATATGTTTGTGTGGTTTATGAGATGTGACTTGGTCATCTTCCAACATGTGTCTAATCTGTCTCCTGTTAAAGTGCCGCCTTGGTCAGGCTCTACAGTCCTGTATGTATTTGCTGTTTGTTCGTTCTTTCTTTCTTTTTTTTTTTAGGATTTTATTTATTTATTTGACAGAGAAACACAGCTAGAGAGGGAACACAAGCAGGGGGAGTAGGAGAGGAAGAAGCAGACTTCCTGGCAAGCAGAGAGCCTGATGAGAGGCTCGATCCCAGGACCCTGGGCTCACAACCCAAGCCGAAGGCAGACGCTTACCAGCTGAACCACCCAGGCGCTTGTTTGCTGTTTTCTGACTCATTGGTCTTTTCACTGAGGCTTCAGTGGCACCATGTGACTTTAATAGTATATTGTCATATCTAAGAGTTCTAGTCCCACTCCTCACCCTATGACTACTTTTTAGAGTTATCCTGACTCTTCTGCCGATTTATTACTACATATAAAACTGAGAATTAACTTGTATAGTTTTATAAAAAGATAAATAAAAATCCAGTTGGCATTTTCCTTTGTATCACATTAAATGTGTCAGTTATCCTAGGGAGGGGTGATGTCTTGTATGGTGAGGTTTTCTGTCCAGCCACACAGTCCTGTGCCATGTTCAGTAACATAACCTCACATGGTCACGTTTGTATGCCCTCCTCCCTCCCTGGTGTTTTGATGTTTTCTTCACGCATATCTTCCAGTAAGAAGATCTTCCGTGCAGATTTCTAGTACGGCTTCTTCCAAGATGTATAGGAAGCAGGTGAATGTGCAGATACAGAGCTTTAGGCAAGCCTAGGGCTCTGAGGCATCGAGCTTAGTTGAATGGGGAGTATAGTGATTTGCGATAGGGAACTAGGTAGTGTGGCCCCTCATGCTCAAGCACCTTTGGTCAGGTAGGCCTTGAGGTTTCATCCATGACCGGTTCTAGACCTGGCCTTGTTCAGCGTTTCTTTTGTTCTTCACTTCAGGTCATTTGTGTTAACTGCCCTCCCCCTGATTGCCAGTGATTAATAGCAAGTGCCATCTATTGAGTGGATACCATGTGCCTAGTTATGTCGGTGGTAGGTAGGTAGGTAGTCATAAACACACACACACACACACACACACACACACACACACACACACATAACTATGCTATGAAGTCTTCTCTCCATTTTATAGATGAGAAAATGGCAACCCTCGCCATGAAGGTCATGCAGATAGTATCGTATCAGAGGTAGAATTTGAACCCAAGTCTTTCTGACACTAAGGCCTATGCTTTTCTCATTCTTGCCTTAGAGGAATGTTCCAGAAGTTTTAGGTTCTTGAAACAGATGAAGGTTGACAGTCATATTTTTTTTATTTTTTTTTATTTTAATATCTAAGCACTAAGTAAAGTACTTTTTTAGGTAGAGAAATGGAAACACATCATGAGGACATAAATTTTGAATCAGAAGCTAATTTGGGTTTGGGATCTAGGTCTTTTGGCTCATCTAGCATTTTATTCTCCAGGCAGAGGCTGTGTTTGATTTATTCATGTGTTTTGCCTAGCAGCTACTTTGGAGCTTTACATATGTATGCCATCTAATGACATTTTAAAATTATAAATGAATTAATTTTCATTTAATTTTTAAGGGAGGGGGGAAGGAGCAGAAGGAGAGGGACAAGCTGACTCTGAACAGAGCGTGGAGCCTGATGCAGAGCTTGATCCCACGACCCAGAGATCATGACCTGAGCCAACATCAAGAATTGGCCACTCGGGACGCCTGGGTGCCTCAGTTGGTAAAGCGTCTACAGTCAGCTCAGGTCATGATACAGCGTTTTGGGATCAAGTCCCGCATTGGGTTCCTTGCTCAGTGGGGAGTCTGCTTCTCCCCCAGCTTGTGCTCTCTCTGTCTGACAAATGAATAAAATCTTGAAGAAAAAAAAAAAAAAAAGTCACCGCTCAACTGACTGAGTCACCCAGGTGCCCCTAAATGAATTCTCTTTTCCCAGTCTTATCCTCTTTGGAAATATGAAAAGTAAATATATCGCTAACTATGTGCTCTCTTACTGTTTTCTCTCCTGTTATGTTTTCATGCCACTCTCAAGTTTACAGAAACTTTAGCAGAAGATTTTGTCACATATTCTGAAGTATATTCTAGGCAGGGAGGATTGTGATACTTTGGGAAATCTAAGCTCACTTTGTCAGAAAAGGACTTCCTGTGGGACTGTTTTTTGTGAATGAAAGAGCAGGTGTGAAAGGACAATCCTCTACTGGACTCAGGTCTCTGCTGTCGCTTCACGCCAGTTGCTTCCCTGGCAGCCAGGTAGAGCTGTCAGTGACAGTGCACTTGGCATGTTGTCCTGGGACAGTGCAACAGTCACCATGGGTCACTGTAGACAGGCCCTTCCATTTGCCATA